TTCTCTCTGAGTTTGCTCTCCATCTGTAGTTTGTGGATAAACTGGTCCATAGCTGCAATTCTTGAGCCTAAAATAACTGCTGATGTAGAATCTTCAGTTCCTTTCTCGTTGAGGGCTGTGTGAGGACCACGGACAATACATTTTGCTTTAGCACCATATTCTAGAGTCGAGATGGTCTTATGCATCTCCTTGGGGTCCGGGCTTGCACACAATATCATTAGAATCTTAGTTCTATCATCTTCGAAAGAGTCCTAAACAAACCGAAATCAAGAGTATCAGTGATCAACACAAACAATAGAAGAAACAAAAGGGAAGGGATGCACACTACAATAGTAGACATGAATGAAAGTCTAAGGCATACCTGCAGAAGCATTGTTAACTTGCTGTCTCTGAATGGCACATGAGAATCACCATTAGCAATAGACTCAACCACTCTTTTCAGTGCTATGTTTCCTTGGTTAATCTTTGCAGTCTGTACTTTCAAGGAAAACATAAACTGATAAATTTACTGTTTTAAAAAAGAATTAGCATCAGAAACCAACATATGACCTTCACACTTCAATGGAAAAGAAAAGGTTAGAGAAAAAGAATTTACAGGGAGATAGAAAAGCACAAGTCATTAAATTTCTACCTGCATTTTTGCTTCCAAACCATTTTGTCCAGCTTGTTCTATATTTTCTGAACCTGCCATGTCAACAAGCATAAGCCGCCCTCCCACTGTTGGTACATCAAGAATTATCTGACAAAGGTATAGAAAAAGGTTAGAATTCCTTATGAAAAAAATTTCAGATGAGGGTTTTTATCCTCTGGGAAGTGTCAAAAGATTCAAACCATGCAGTGGCTTCGTGAGCTCCTCTCATTGCATAGGGTACTTTTAACTATCCTTCGTTTTTCAACTTTTTGAATTTCCTTTGATATCTTCCCTGCTTCATTTCCAGAGATAAATGTTGCATTTTTCGCCTTCTTTCCCATCACTTCCAGTCTCACCTGCAAACACATAATAAAAATGTCAAATTACCCAGTGAAAATTAAATGCCTAGGTAAAATTAATGTCATATAATTGTCTGATAGCATTAACAGTATCATTATTCAAGCATTCCCTCAACTGTGGGGTCATGCAAAATATATGTCATGAGAATAAGGCCCAAGTTACAATCAAGTTTATATAATGCATCAAAACTCAACATATATGGACATGAAAATAGCCTCACGTAAAGAAAAGACCATCCGGCCATTCAATATGAAGGAAATTAGAATGGCAAAAAATTACCATGGGATATATATACTTCTTATTTTTGTTCTTAATTTTACAAATGAATAAACTGTAGTGTTCTCGATACGAAACTACTTGTATGACCATATATGGTTTTCTTGTATGCAAGCTGGACCATGTAGCAACAGGCTCAATGTAGCACCTGCAGGACATATACATCAGTAGAAGAATAAGGTGTGGGGTATAAAATGTAGTCTTTTTTCTCCTCCCTATAATTTTTTACGAAAGGTTTAAAAAATTAGCTGTCCATAAAATTTTATTTCACCCTTCTAGTACAATGCCAAGAAAAAACAGAATAATATTTCAACACATTTTATTTTCCCATTTGAAATTTTTTTTATAATTTGTTCAAAAGACAAAATAACATTTTCCAAAATCTTAACTTTGGACTAAATCCTGAAAATCAAAAGTACATGATAAGAGCCAAAAATACTAATCTAAGGGAAGAGGTTCTTCATAGAACCCAAATGTCTACTTGTGCAAAACCGAATTCATATCGAAGCCATACATAAGAATTTCCATAAAACAGAAGCACCTATATGTGTGTGTATCTCTCTACAATAAACTACATGATATATGTATATATTGCTTGCTATAATCATTACAAACTAGCAATCTAACAAAATAAATTCGATTAACAATTATTCAAATATAACTCATCAAAAAAAAAAAAAGGATTCTGACCTTGGAAGCACTTCCCTTGGACCACCCAAGACTAAACCCTCCACCAGTGTTAGTCGAAAGCAGATCATAAATCTCCTCATTGTATATCTCCAAAACAGTGACTTGAACAAATGTCCCGACACCAACCCTCTGATCATTACCACCATTCTCTTCATCCTCTTCTCCCAATATATCTCTGAGAGACTTATACACAATCCCTGGCTGCGTCGCGCATCCAAACATCGTGTGACTCTTCCCTGAACCCGTAGGTCCATACATCATGATTGTACATTTAGCCCCCAGTTTCACTCCATTGATCCTTTCCTCAACAAATTTTTTATAAAATCCATCAAGATCCTCTTCTTCTGACAAAGATACACCATCAAGACTAAAATCTCTGAACCCAATATCGGTCTTAACTCTAAGGGATTGGCGGTCTTGGTTGATTTGCAATGCAGAGATGGGCTTGTTTTTCTGATCTGGGTAGTCTCGGATTCGGCCAATTACTTCAACTGGATGCTCTGCTGGTGGGATATCTTTAACTGCGTTCGGGTAGGAAAGGGTTTGGTTACATTAAAGTTTAGGCGTTGCTTCGATTGGGGTGTCTTTAATTGAGTTGTGTGGGTTTTTGATGAAGGTGTTAGAGACATTTGTTTGGATTTAGCAGAAGGTATGGGTGCCATTGTAAGAAAACCCAGAAATTTTTCTGCTGAATTTCTTGTTAACCAAACAGAAAATTCAAAGTAGAGACTCTGGCTTGGGTTGAAAGGAAAAATGGTTTGTGGGTTTCTAGAATATTTTCAGGAAAATTCGAGTTTGGAATTCAATTTCTGTTGTGGGTTTCATAAAGAGAGAGAATATGAGGTCTTTGTTGAATAGCAGAACGAGAGCGATGATTTGGGAATGGAGAAATTCTTGTTAACCAAACAGAGAGAGTTGACAAATGAAAAGGTTTTTGATTTTTGAAGTAGAATTAAAAATGTGCACTAGCCGTTACGTATTCTAACGTCTATTTCTCCTGTCAAGACGCTACTCGGCTACTCCGCGCCGATCTGTCCTTCCTTCCTCGTGTAGGGAAGGCTAAGAGCAACGATCCAAAAATGAGGTGCTTAATGTTATTTTGTAATTTAAACAGTATTTTTGACATTTTTGAACAGTGTTTTTCTTCAATGGTAGGTGTTAAAAGTGGGTGTTATTTTAATATTTTTTATTAAAAAATATAATTAAATTTAACGGTTATATATTAACGGGTATAATTTTCGTAACGATCGGAATTTAATGGATATATTTTTATAGTAAAAATTTTAAATTTTGGCGGACAAAATTTCAAGTTTCAAATTCAAATTTCAAATTTCAACCGTTGAAATTTAAATTTAAAAATTTAACCGTCAAAATAAAAATTAAAAAAAATATAATTCGTCTATAAATATGATCATTTTTCTCATATTTTCATCCATCTATCTTACATTCTCTCTATAAATTCAATATCTCATTTCTCTTTGACTATTTATTCTTTCATATTTTCATTCATCAAACTACATGAATCGTTATCCTAATATTTTAGAAAAGATCCTCAATATTGAAGAAGAAGATAATTATGACTTGGATATGTTGTATACTGCAACTAGAAGGTCAGAAGGGTCTAGTCATGGACGGATAAGAAGGCATCGTGGTTCCGTTCCAGGCCACAAAATAGTTAATCGTGGTAGAGTTGAAGGTCACGAAAAATTTTATCGTGACTATTTTGTTACCCTTTGTGTGTATAAAGGTTTTTTTCGAAGGAGGTTCCGAATGAGTCGTCCTCTTTTTCTCCGAATTGTAAATGAGATTGAACAACACGATTCATACTTCATCCAAACAACAGATGCCGTTGGAGTTCTCAGTTTGTCATCACTTCAAAAGCTAACAGCTGCTTATAAAATTCTTGCTTACGGAATACCAACAGATTTTGTGGATAAATATATCAGAATTGGGGAAACACTGTCATACAGAGTCCGAGAAGGTTTATGAAAGCTGATATTGTAGTATTTGACGACCATTACCTGAGGTCACCAAACAATATCGATATTGCTCGATTGCTACAAACGGGGGAACAACATGGTTTCCCCGACATGTTATGGAGTATTGATTGCATGCATTGAAAGTGAAAAAATTGTCCTACCGCGTGGCAAGGTATGTATACTGGTCATTGTCATGAACCAACAATCATTTTAGAAGTTGTGGCTTCTCAAGATCTTTGAATATGACATGCATTCTTTGGGCTTCCTGATTCGCTAAATGACATAAATGTTCTAGATAGATCCCTTGTTTTTGCATTATTAGCAAATGGTCATGCTCCTCCAATCAACTATATAATTAATGGTCGTGAGTATATAATGAGATATTATCTAGCTGATGGTATTTATCCAAACTGGTCGACATTTGTAAAAATAATTCCTTGTCCACAAGGTTTGAAGAAAAAATATTTTGCTAAAGCACAAGAGTCGACAAGAAAAGATATAAAACGGACATTTGGGGTACTTCAAACCTATTTTGCAATCATGCGTGGACCAACACGCTTTTGAGATGAAGAAACACTTGCGGGTATTATGAAAGCATGCATAATAATGCATAATATAGTCATTGAGGATGAAATGAGATATTGGTAACAATGACTTTGATGGAAGTGATGCAAATCCGCTTGTAGAAGTGTCGTATGCATATACACCAAAATTGGAAGATTTCATGCAAACCTATTGTCAGATCAGGGACAGTGTTACTCATTTTCAACTGCAGTCAGATCTTATCGAGCATTTGTGAGAACAACATGGTGACTTATAATTTTCTCAATTGCAATGACCATATTATGTTATATTTTCAATTCCAATTCCAATTTCAAGTTGTACTTTCAATTCCAATTTTAATTTCAAGTTGTATTTTCAATGCACAGTTTTTCATAAATAATAGCAATATAATAAATAATGACTAAAAATTATAAAATATGAAATTATAATAAATAATGACTACAAATTTAAAAATAATTGCAACATAAAAAATAATGACTACAAATTTAAAAATAATAGCAACATAATAAATAACGACTAAAAATTAAAACTCCGCTTTTTCATAATCTCTATCTTCAGGTTATTCCAATATGTTACAGAAATTGGATTCATTTCAGTAGTGTCAGTTTCCATGATTTTCATTTCATTCTACATTTTAGTTTGTTGCACCTGCCTTTCTTCAATTTCTAACTGTCTACGATATTGCTCTAATGTTATCTCCTGTTGAGCATAAATTTTGTCGTGTCGCTCAACTTTTTGTCGTTCCACTTCCATTCTTTCATTCTAATGGTGATGATCTAGTGATGCTTCAACACCGGTTTGCTTCTCTTTGTTTTTAAGTTGTTTCTTCGAAGTCTTTCTACCCAATGACCTATCGAGGTTGGGAGTGGACGAGGGTTCAGTGTCATCCCCTAAATATGGAATTGAATAGCAAGATTCAACGTGAGTTAATTCAACAGACTACCAGTCTCATGAGTTTTTGCTCACTTATTGCTAGTAAGATTATCAGTCCATTTCCGCTCCATTTTCAATATATTCCAACAATGCTCGTATTGAAATGGTTTTCCAATAATCTTAGCAAATATTTCTTTTGTGTCATCAACCTGAAAAATATATAAAATTATTCAGTCAATAATTCAAATATCAAATCATAGTAGTGTCTAAATTAAAAGTTTAATCATTACATTATTTTGCTCGGTGTGTCCACTTTGTCGCAGTCTTCAATTTGACTATAAAAACTAACAAATTTGTCGCATTTTACATTTATATCAGTCCAACGACTTTTAATAGAAGATTGCGAACGCTCTTCTTGATTGACTCCATGAAGTTCTAAGTATTGCAATATTCTTTGCCAGAAAGCACCACCTTGTTGTCCATTCCCAGTAATTGTATTTTTACTCGTGTTAAACCACGCAGACACAATTAATTTATCTTCTTCTACAGAGAAGTTCTTTGTCCTTTGCGATTTTCTCACTCTTGGAACGACTTAATTTTGTATATGCGTCAATACTGTGGGATTGATCTGCATAGCATCATCATATAAATCAGTGTCGTTTATAATCAAATCAGTGAAAGAACCGTCAAATTGTGAATCCATCTACAAAATATATATAATCAATTTAAAGAATGAGCATAAAATAATAAATTAAAAATTAAAAATTAAAACAAGAACATGGGGACAAATGTAATTATAAATTATAAATTAAAACTAGAACTTATAAATTAAAACAAGAACATGGGGGCAAATGTAATTATAAATTATAAATTAAAATAGAACTTATAAATTAAAACAAGAACATGGGGCAAATGTAATTATAAATTATATATTAAAACTAGTATAAATTAAAACAAGAATAAGGGGTAGATGTAATTTCTCCTAAATAAAACAATTTCTGCCCCCTTCTCCTTCGGTTGTCTTCTTCCCCTTCACCTTATCAGACCACCAGATCCCTTCCTCTTCCCCTTCCCCTTCCCCTTCCCCTTCCCCCCTTCCCTTACCAGACTAGACAACGGCAACGGGCTATGAGAACACACCAACGGCAAGGGTCAGGGAAGCTAAGATTTTTGATATCAAAGACAAGGATTCAGGGAGTTATTTTCTGAAAGCAATCAATTTCAGGCAAGTTTTCTTCCCCTTTCATCTCTCTGTATTGTTATACAAATTTTGGGTGGAATATAGCCGTTGAGGAACAGTAGCCACCAACGGCTATTTTGCTACCTCTCTATTCTCTCTCCAAAATTGCCAAATATGTCACCCCAAAATCCTAGATGTCATTTTGCCACCTCTTATGCTATCTTCGTTGGAGTCCCAATTTTTGCAGTTAGAGTGCCATTTTAGCGGTTCTGGGGATGACACCCCTAATAACAACTCCCGTTGGAGTTACTCTAAGGCGCCTGGGCAAATTGTCCAAAATTATAATTTTTTAAGATTAAAAATATAATTTTTTTAAATTTAAGTCAAATTTTTTTTATAAAATATAATAGATGTTAATTTCTATTATTAAAATCGATTATTAATTTCTCTCAAGCAATTGTAACTTCTTCTTTAAAGTTTAAAGGCTATAACTTGACATTAAAAAATGGTAATTTTTGAAATGGTACAAAAAAAAAATATCAGTATCACATAATTACCTATGTATTAATCAAAACTAAATTGGGTTTTGATTATTAATTTAAATAAAATTATTTATTTAGATGGTACCGCCCAACCAAGGAAATTATATTTATTTAGACATTTTTAAATATTAATAATTTAAATAACATTTAATCATGCATCACTAAATTTATTAGATTTAAAGTACTAATTGGGGTGGGTACAATGAATTTAAATGTGGATGAATGAATTCAACCCAAATTGAAGAGGGCAGCTATACGAAATGCCCTATAACAGGCATTAAAAGGGGGATTTATTTATGTACAAGTGAGTCTCTCACTCATTAATAATTGGTCATTTCTCATTAATAATGGATGATGTGCCAAGACAGGAATTGAAAAAAAAAGTGTATTAGAGGAGATCTGAATTTAAGAAATACATTATAGAAAATTATTTTGGATATGAATTTCAATTAAAAATCCTAAAGTGACAAAATAAATTTTACGAATGTCTAAATATTGTTACAATAATCTTTGGTCCAGAGCTATTATTATAAGACCCTAATTACACGTAATACACTTTTTTCTTAATTTTTTCAATGATATATCACTTATTATGAATTCAATTAAAAATTGTTGTATATAAATGAGTCTTTTATCAACACACAATAAATGATTTTTCATTGAAAAGTCTTTCTTCATTGTACGAGACTTCCCCCAATTTATAGCAAGTTAAATGAGACCTAGTGCTTACATTTCTAAATTAAAGTTTTTCGGTAAGCAACAATGGTGGGTTCTTAAACCTTTTGGTATATTTTAGTACATGTAAATTAATTGCAGAACAACGAAAATAGATAGAAATAAAAATGTAAGGTCTTTTTTATTCTTTATGTTATAGAGTTCAAACAATTTGATTGCTAGGGCACGTTGAATTCTATAAATTTGAATAAGAAAGAAAAATAAAAGTATCAATATAAATGATTCTTTCTAATGAATATTATATGGAATAAAAAAACCATTTTCTTTCTGAAAAAAAAAACATATATCCTCTTCTTTTTCCTTTTTCTAGTAATATTTTATGCAATTTTCACATATCTTTCACTTATCTACATTTGTATGAAAATAATATTATCTAGAGAATATAAAGAATAATTCGTTCTGAATAACAGATATCTTTCACATTCAACTATAAAATAATGAATAACCTCTTCATTTTTAAATAATATTTCTAAAAACAGTCAATCGAATTTTATAACTCCCAAGAGAGGGCATGTTTGACTAAATAAGCATAATTCACAAGTAATTGCGTACAAATTGAGTTTCCGTTAGACTCAAGAATTGAAATATGTATGGTTGAAACAGTTACCCCCGAAGGGCAAAAAAAAAAAAAAAGAAGAAAAAAGAATGGACAGACATGGGCGAGAGAAAGAAACATGACATTCCTTCAGCTGGATAGCTAGTTTACTGAGACTTTCAAAGGCCCTACACATGAATCATTACAGTTGATAGACCTATGAATACACTGTCATACAATATTTCTACTTTTAAAGCAGTTGTCCATGTTGAATCTCTCTATACAATTTGATATACATAAAAAAAAAAAAAAAAAAAAAGGAGAGGGAAAGAGAGGAAGTTGCTATTACAGACAGAAGTTCGAATTTCAAACAATGGTTCGAAAACTGCCCATCTTCAAAACTTAAGAGATCACAAAAACACGAAGCTCTCCCCGGTCTCCCCTTGTTACGCGGGTATCAGAGTCGAGGTAGGTAACTTCAAATTCACCTGAACCTGTATTAGATGCTGGCCTTAGTGCATCTGGTATCCGAGGTACATCCAATGGTGGAAGTTGTGATAAATTTCCTGTCGTCTTTACAGTTGTTTTCTCAAATACTATCTTAATTTTGGAAGATCCTATTCATGTAAAAACAGGAACATTTGTTAGGAAGATCATTGTTATGCTTTTAAACAACACCTGCAGAATATTTTTTTCGGGTAAATGATTAGGAAATGAAAATGGAAAGCACCAACCTAGGACTTCAAATTTGTGGGCTAAGGTGGCTGTCACCTCAACAGGTGGAAGAGGCCACGGAGTGCCTAATTGAAGCTCTGCTATATTATCAAAATCTTTGCTTAAGATGTCAATCCGTTGAAACACCTGATCAAAACAAACCATGGAATCAGTGGTAGATTTAGAATTTTCGAAGTAGGGGGCCACCTAAAAGCGAGAAAATATAGAATGTAGAATTATCCTGGGTCATATTAAAAATTTACAAAAATAAAAGACGTCAGCCTAACAATTTTCAATGAATAACACAAAATCTAACGGACTAATAGATAATGTTAGAAACTTCGTATGGCCATGGTCCTCCTTGCATGTAAGATGGCTCCGCAACTGCATGTAATAAGATGATAGAAAAATATAAGCAACAGCAGGCTATATTTTGTATTCACTTTCTGCGCATCCAATGAATTTGATTATATTGGATCATTTGAAATTTGAGCGCTAAACAAATAAAAGCACAAAAAGCCAAAGCCTTTTTCAAGCACACCTGGCCAAGAATAATGGGAAGAAGTCTTCCAGTTGGGGGGCCAGGACGGCTTCCACCTAGAGTGCGAGATGAGAATGCACTGCTATATATCAGTTTCCACCTTCCTTGCAGTTTATCAAGTTCAACTGAGAGATCTACAGGTCCTCCCACACCTTCAAGCTCCTTGGCAGCCGAATCTGCCTTCTGTAAATCATCTTCACTAGCAGCAAGACCTCTGTTTAGCCCAGAAACAGCACTCTGTAGATTGACCATCCCATAAGTGTCAGCAACATGACTTATTGTTATAATGATTCCATACAAGCTTTGCACTAGCATCTAAAAATTTATAAACAAGTGATGAAATTGAAAACAACAGCTTCAAAGATTGATTTTTTGCGAAAAGAGCTGATACTTATGAGTATACACATCGGGTGAGGAAAAACCCAACTGATGCCTGCATCTTGGCAAATTTTCATGCATTGTAAGAAGAGGTATTAGTTCCTACCTCTTTGATTTCAAAGTCAACATTTGTCCACTTACAAAATATACAGGTATAAAATCAAACGATGATAAGTTTCCTTGTCAATACAACAAAACATCATCCAACAATGAACGAGCATCCAACAATGAACGAGCTATAAGGAATCACTACTCATAACTTGAATGAACATATAATTTGTTAAAGAAAAGGTGCAGCGAAAAACAAAATCTTTTTCAAAATGAAGCAAAAGAAGTCGATAACGGAAACCAAAGGGATATGATTGCACATGAATCTGAAAGATAGGTACTTAGCTTAGATTTCATCAATCTTTTTGCTTTGGTCACCAAAAAGACAGGTTACCAAAAAGAAAGCCAAAATCCCAGCCAAAAAATGATAAAATAAAAAAGCAGACAATTTTTGTTTGACCATCCAACAAAATCCAAATTGTCTAAAGCTACTGCCTGTACTCGTTGTTTTATAATCTTTTGATTTCCATAATTGGGCCCAGAATGTGCTCCATATTAAAATATCATATCTACATATTTTCTTTGTTGTTATGGCTCTACATGATGTCACTTCTACCTCTTCCTTATATCCCTATCACATCCTTGACTATCACCATCGCCAGTCTCCTCTAGACATTGAAACCTTACCATGCAAGCAATGAACTCTCTCTTACTCTAAAACAAATGGAGACTTCAATGCACTTTGTGTCTGTGAGTAATGTAGCTAATTGCTCTTTTTTGGTGTTCTGAAGATTTGGAAGCAGAAATTGTTTCAAATGGGACCGACTGTAGAAGTCAAAGTGTCCAAGAAGGTCACACATATTTTGGCTATGAATACTGCTTCACTACTCTCATATTGACCGCAAACTCTTACCATGCTTCAAAGGAGCTTTTTCTCTTGGACATTTTCTTTGCTTCTTTGTCATGAAATGTTAAATTTTACTGCTTGGACTATAATTTGGATGGAGGGTGTTTTGCTCTTTCTCAATTTCTTACATGGCTGGCTATATCTTGTGTTAATTTAGAATTGGGATGATTTAATTTTCTGATCGTATGACCAAGTGTGTCAGGTAAAAAGTCTATTCAGCATATGGGTTTTCTCAGCCCATAATTACTTGCAATGAAATAACTATCTTACTCAAGAAGGTTCCAAAAAAACTCAAATATGTTTTTCTAAGCATTAAAGATTGAAACTGTACATAGAAACATTCAATTTCAAAAAAATTGTCAATGATATTGTACTGGTGGTCTTGATGTACTTATTTCATGGCACTTTCATTTTAAATGATCCCGAAAAGGCAGTACTTATTAACTTGCTGTCACTACCAATCATTTTTCATATTTTCGATGGACCATGATCAAAACCCTAGTTCTCCTCTCCCTAAGATGCAATGCAAGCAGTCAACTCATCCAACGTCATTTTTACACTTCCCCACTTTCTATCTTCCATCATAGTAAATGGAGCTACATTCCCAGAGAGCACACAGCAACACTGTGGCACTGCGTATAGGCAAGCGGGAACTCTGAATATCATTGGGTTCTCTGAATATCAATGTTTTCCTAAATGTAATGTGGGATAAACATGCAAGTTTAAGCTCAATTCCACTTAATTCTGCACTGATGATTGAGCATCAATGGCAAGAACAAACTATTTCCCGTAAAATATATAACTCCCCCATTAGAAATAACCAAACAGAGAGTTAATTCACAGTTACAGTGCATCAAAATTAAACAGCCTCCAGAAACAATCCCATTATCAAGCCACAGACAGTGAATTACAAAATTATTTTCTGGGTTTTAAAAACCACAACCCTCTCAATTGCTTTTTTTTTTTTTTTTAATTTTCAAAGCAAACTAAAAAAAAAACAAAATTAAGCTTACATAGACCACCACAGAGAATAAATATAAAGCAGAACAAGAACAAACAATTCAAGAACACTCCGTTTAAAAGCCATCCATAACACAAAAGCAAGCATTAATACAGACACTGAATACAAGTCAACTGAAACCAGAAATAGTATTTGAACAGATACCAGCAATTTGAGCTTCAAGGCCCCAATGATCTCAGTTTTCGATCCTTCGACATCATTACCAGGAGGGTCAATTACCGAGACTTTATCGAGGGCCGACTTGCAAAGAAGGTCTTTCTTGCTATGATAGTTCTTTTTGCTGTGAAACATTTGAGTATGAATACTTTGAGCTCTTGGGTTAATTGGAAAGAAACAAGTGAAAGTAGAACTACAATATGACGATGGGGATGGTGAGGAGTGATAGAGAGGAAGTCTAGATTGAAGTACAGAGGCCATGGCTACGTATTGTTGTAGATTTTGGAACCGGGTAGTTGCAGATTTTGGGGGAGGAAATGGAAGACAGGAAAGTGCAAGAGAGAAAGTTGGGCCACGTTTGGTTAGCTTTCCGGAAACTTTTTTTTTTTTTTTTCCCTCAAAATTTTAAAAACACCTCAAACATCTTTGTTTAGCTTTTTTGTTCTCAAAATTTTGAGAAAAAAATAAAATTTGAGTCTAAGAAATAAAAAACAAATTTAGCTTATTTTAAGAGTATTCTTTGAAAATTTTAAAAATAAGGAGAACAATTTTAGACTTTAATAAGATCTATCCTTCGAGTCTCTTTAGTACCAAATTTTTTTATTTCTTTTTTTATTTTTACTTCTTCATCTCTCCCATAATATATAATATATATTATATTATAATATAATATGCTATATAAAATTATATATTATATATTATTATAATACACATAATATGTATATATATGCAGATATATATATTATGAAATTATCAATATAAAAATAAATTTTTTATATTTTTTTATTAATGTTTGAATTACTGTTCAAATATATATTTAGGGTGTCCAAATAAGTTTTACTATTTTCTGTATTGTAAAATTATTTTTGAAATCATCTAACCAAACAAGTTTTTTATCTTAAAAAATATCAAAACCATTTTCTTAAAACTTTTCTCAAAAACTATTTTAAGATATTAATTTTTGTAACACAAACCAAAGAGGCCTTGATTTCTATTCTCTTATTGTGATTGGATGGTGAGAAAAATAGTGTGGAATCCACCCCAAGTTTTTTGGTAGAGACGCCACAAGGATTGCTTAAAATATTGCCGTGTGGCCTCGGACTTTTTGGGTAGTGTTTGTGGCCACGAACGAGAAATTAAAATTCTAGTAGCATTCTTTTTCCTTTTTTTTATTTGATTATCCAAACAAGTTTATATATACTTCAAGTAATTATCTCTCCGATTTAATAAGAGACACATAGGGATATTCAAATTTTTGATTACCTCCAAATTCTAATCTTATTATCTTATCCGACTCTATTGATCGACTACACAAAAGAATCGAATAGACTAATGGAAAATTTTTTAGTATTTCGCAAAAAATCTAGTAAGAATGCGAAACACTTACAAAATTTTTGTATTTTTATCCTATATATATATCCCTAAAATTAAAATCCAAAAATCTTAAAATCCTAATGTTTTATTTATGTTTATGATTTTATTGTCATGTTTTATTGTAATTGTTTATGTATTATCGAATTTATTGTGTTTTCTTTAGTATTATTAATTTATTGTGTTAGTTAATTAGTATAGATTACTTAATTAAATTATTAAAATGATCTAACAATTAATAATTAAAAAATATGTATTTATCTGATTTCCTACCCGCCTTCTTATCTGATTGTTTTGGACGGAATTTGAGTAGAAAATAATAGTATTCTTGATCGAGGTAGAGTAGGTCAAGAAATTTTTTTCCTGTAAAGTATCAGATAAGAAGATAAAATATCATAATTCCTACCCTACCTGAACACCCCTAAAGACATAATATTCATCTCAAGATTAAGATATTCATAAATGATAAATTTTTTATAGTCTGGTTCAAAGAGTTGTCAAGATTCGTATTTAAGAATATGTCTGGATTTATGATCACCACTATTAGTCATATTTTTTGGGACAAAGTTAGGAAATTATTTTATGGCACTGTAACAAATTTGAATTTTTTTTCAAATTAACTTTAGAAGTTTATAAATTCATATTTATTGAAATTATATTTAATCTATATTTATACTACTTATAAATGTCAGCATTTGTGAAAAACTTTTGATTTCTTATTTCACATTTAATTATTACCGTAAAGTCAATTATACATATATATGCATTTGTAAAAAACTCTTGATTTCCTATTTCACTCTTAATTATTACCATAAAGTCAATTATAGCCACATATTTTCCAGTCTTTCATACTTATTTGACTTCCAAAATATTAGTTAGATAAAATTTATTTCTATGACTTGGTAGATAAACTTTATTTCTATGACTTGGTAGATAAACTTTATCTCTAAATTCTTTCTTTTCCATTCAATTCTATAAACTATACTAGAATTCTAATACCATATGTTTGTTTTTTAGGTGATAAACCCAACCATTCATTTAGGTCTATAATCAAACAATTGAACGAGCATGTTAAAATTCTGAAAGATTTTCAAGCTAGCTGCAAAAAAAGAACAGGAAGAGCTTCTTCACAAAAGAAAGATGCTTGTGTTCAGTTAATTTCAGTATAAAAGTCAGGAGTTAATGCAAAAGTCAGTGTATCAATTACTCTTATATCATATATTTGTTTTGAAGTATTTTGTATGGTACTTTGCATGTTCAACTATTTTCTAGTATTATGTTTCTAAATCATTGTTTGATTACTTTTTACATGAAAAAATAAATACTTTTAATGGGTTGGAGTATTATTGAACCAATATTGTGCAAACCAGGTTTTTACTGAATTGATAGTTTATCAATCCCTATGTTTTAGTTTATTAATTCTTTTGTTTACGTTAATTCTTATGTTCTGTGTCACTTTAATTTTTCTTAATTTAATATCAAACAGCTTTCTAAGAGATTGGTGTGGCCGGTCAAATATTAGGCATAATTGAAATTAGTTTATTAATTCTTATGTTTTAGTTTATTAAATTGCTATCGTAGGTCGAGTATTCAGCATAATTGAGGTTAATTTATTAATCCTTATATTTTAATTTATTAATTCCTATGTTTTAGTTTATTAATTCATATGTTTATGTTAAAATTTTCTATGTTGGTGTTTATTTGTTTTATTACAATGGGATAAAATATAAATTGTCATATGATTTGTAATTCTCACATTCTTCTAATCTTGTATAAGCAAAAGCCTCCAAATGCATATCACAAAAAGATTAAAAAAAATGGAACAAAAATATAGATTAAAAAGGCACCAACTAGTACATAAAAAGTTCTTTATACATTAACGGTTAAAAACCAATATAAAGCTTGTTACCAAAAATTAAAAATAAATTAATTGTAACTTCTTACCAATAATGAGACTAATTATTGTCATTTACAATTAACTCTTATAATTTTTAATTTTAAAAACGTTACAAATGAATGTCATCAACAAATAATTTTTTCTATATACAAAATCAAGGTAACAATATTCTATTTATGATCGTGTTGTTTATTACATAATGATACTCAATTCAATACAATAACAAAGTAACTCTACAATTTTAAAAAATTATAAAATATCCCCATATGACCAAAACTTGTTCAAACATATCCGAAACGTGTCTAAAATATAAGAATAATGTCAATTGCACCTAATTCAAGATTTAATTTGTGAGTATCCAATGATTTATGGTGGAATTTATAAAATATTAAAACTTACTATTAACCTGAATGTTACAATATGTTAGAGCATGAAATTAGGTCCTAATATAATTTCACGAAAGTTAATAATTATTTAGGTAGGGGATCTTAATCAATTACAAAAACACAATATTAAGGTAAACACAGTTAAATAAGACGACTCATATATCGTAAGGGGTTGGACGTTAGTATATATATAAAATAAAAAATTTAGAGGTCTTCTTTCCCTGTTTCTTAAATTTTTACAATTTAGATTTCCTTAATTCAACATATAAGGCTCCCTCCAATTAGACATTGTCATGTGTCATTTTTAACCACCTCTCAACTCTTCAATAATCTTAAATTTATTCAAAAAAATATTTTTTAGCACTCAAAATTTTCAATTTGTATAATTGTTTATCTAATTCTCAAGGGATGGATAAAAAAAATACAAATTATAATCCCGTGCATCGCATGAGGTAAGCCGCTAATATAATTTTATTTGCACCGTCTATATTGAGACTTGTATTGAATAATTCATTAAGCTGTTGGCACTTGAATTTATCAAAACTAAAGCTACACTTGTTATTTTGTTTGTCAATTTCATGTTCTGTGATATTAAAAAATCTCCATCACCTCTCCAACAATGATTCCGGAAACATTAGAGAAGTATTAGTTTGCACCAATTTTTTTTTTTTTTAAATTAATCCCTTATACTCCGTTTGGTACGATAGAAAAATAGAATAATGGAAAATTTGAGGGATAAATAAAATATCATATTCGGTAAGGAATGAAAATAAAAAGGACGAAAAAGTGGATGAATTAAATTTTCTTTCAACTCACTAAAATCAATTCCTTTAAAATCCGAAAAAAAGTGGATAAAAAGTTAATTATTTATGTTGAAATGTATTTTATTTGATTATGTATCTTTTTATATATACATATATTATGCATACATTAATTTCATATAAAAATACAATGATAAAATATGTATTTATATATATTTTATAAAACAATAAAAAATAAATAAAAAATTAAAAAAAATATTTATTCCATCTTAGTTAGGGGTGAAAATTTTCGACTCAATGTGATGAAACGACTCGAACTCGACACGAATTTTATGATACGAACTTGATTATAACTCGACTCAAACTTGAAAATGACCTAACATGCAAACAAGAAATATAAATTAATCATTTTCACTCGACTCGAATGTCATCTCTAATCTTAGCAAGTACAAAAAAAAAATGTATTTTTCATCCATCCTACTAAACATAAATGAAGGAAAGTGTATCATTCTTATTTTCCTTCCATAAAAGATAAAAAGTGTATCCCTCGTATTTTCTATCCCTCATATTTTTTATCATTCCTACTAAACGGAGCATTATTCTAAAATTTATTCATGTTTAATATACAAATCGAGAACTCTAGATTTGTAGAAAATATTAATAGTTACCTTTTAAAGCGTGATCTTTATAATTTTTCAAGTTTTCTCAAAAAATTTTGAATCTTTAAATTTAAATTTGATGTTTACTATAAATTAGGCCAATCAATGGTGCGAATAATTTTGAAAATATGAAATAAAGAGAGACCCGGAGGGGGTGGGGGGGTGTTCTCCATGTAGTTGGATAAGTCTCAATTGCGTGGCAATTCCTTTCTTTTTTGTGATGAGAAACTTCTATAAGGGAGGCTCACATACTACAAAATTCTGCATACTACAAAAGCATCAATTGATTATTAGTTAAA